CGGACCTCACATGGTTCGCCGTGGCATCTCACGGGTCAGAGCTGCACCAGGTGGACATCCTGGGAGAATGTGCCTCTGCTGTCCACTCCCTGTTCACATCACCACGACCCCCCCCCGCTCCCCAGCCCGGGGGGTACATGCAGGTGCTAGGGCTTACAGTGCACTGAGCTCATGGCAGCATGAAGCGGGCAGCTGCCCTCAGCAGGGGAGGGGTGCCTGGTGCTGCAGAGGAGGCTGGGGTCACCCACCTGTGCTGTCTGCACTGCCCTGGGGGGGGGGGTGGTCACGATGCCCCGACCATCTAACAGAACCTCCGCCTTTCTCTGTCCACCTTATGAGCTCCGTCTGCCTGGACCCAGTGTCTGCCTCTCTGGATGCGCCTCCGACAGTCCGGCCATGCTTGCTCCTGCCCTAGTAGCTGCCCCCTGGGCCATGACCTCTGTCTCACCTGGCTGCCTAATGGACCCCATGCACTTTGTCACCCAGCTGCCCCCAGGCCAGTCCACTGTCCCCCCTCCCCAGCCCCCCGGGTGAGACTCCTGGGCTGAGAGTGAGCTGTGTGTGGCCTGGTGAATCCCAAAGGTCACCACAGTGGCCCTTAGGCTATTTCTATTCCAACATCTACAAGGGTCCTGCCAGAAGGTTGAGTCAGCCTCTGCCGGCTCCTCCTGGGTGCTGTGCGCATGATTTCTGGGGGGACTGGATGCAGGAGTGCTGGGCCTCTCCTCCCTGAGGCCTCTCCTCCTCCGTGCCCTCAGCCTGTCTGTCCTTGTAGGAGCATAAGCGGTGAATGCAGTGACCAGGGGCAGAAACCAGTCTTGCTTTGTACCTCAGCCGCTCCTTCAGAGCAGGGGTGAGAACCGCAGCCAGCACCCAGTGCAAGAGCAGCAGGGAGTGGCAGAGGAGACAGGGAGGTGGACAGGGTGGACAGGGGGTGGACTTGTGTAGTGAGTCCGTTAAACCACAGTCTAAGCTCAACAATAGAATTTGTTTCCTTTTCTTTTCTTCCTTTTTTTTTCAGAAGTAGCAACTTTGAATGCAGTGGTGACTGTTAAGTGGAACCTGTGGGTATCCAAATTAGAAAAAGTTAAAAAATGCCATAAAAATAACATTATGGGGGCTGGAGCAATAGCACAGCGGGTAGGGCATTTGCCTTGCACACGGCCAACCTGGGTTCAATCCCTGGCATCCCATATGGTCCCCCAGCACCGCCAGGAGTGATTCCTGAGTGCAGAGCCAGGAGTAACCCCTGAGCATCGCTGGGTGTGACCAAAAAGAAAAGCAAAACAAAAATAACATTATGGCCCCGAGAGGACCATGGGTTGGTGTGTTTCCTGTTGAACAGGCTCTTAGGGCAAGTACAGTCCTTGCTCTGCTGTAGGGAAACATGCCACTTGTCCATCAGGACAGTGAAGGGACCATTCTAAATGCCTGGACAGAGACTTGGACACCCTGGGATTGTGGGGCCCATCCTGGGGGTTCCCTGCAAGGCACCCCCAGCTGCAGTGATCCACTTTCGCCTCTGGGGGCAGTGTGGTTCCTAGTTGCAATGACCTGCTCTCGCCTCTGGGGGCAGCGTGGTTCCCAGTTGCAGTGACCTCTCACCTCTGGGGGCAGCATGGCTCCCGGCTGCATTGACCAGCTCTCGCCTCTGGGGGCAGCATGGCTCCCGACTGCAGTGACCTGCTCTCGCCTCTGGGGGCAGTGTAGCTCCCACTCTCACCTCTGGGGGCAGCAGCCTTGGCCCTGCTGCTGTGGGTGACACACGGGTCCCATGGCATGGGGGTCAGCACTTTGGGCCAGCACGGCCCTTCCTGCGCCTGACCGGATGGGTACACTGAGGGCAAAGAGAGCAGGGGATCAGGCTCTGCCTGCTGGGACCTACCTGGGTCCACCTCCAGCACTGCAGGGGCCGCCCCAAGCACAGCTGTACCTTGTGCCTGGGCTCTGGGGCACAAGCGACCTGGTGGGCCCCCCCACTTGGCACTCTGGGCACCTCCTTCAGGGAGAGCTGCCAGGGCTCTGCTATGGACAGCCCCGCCTGCCTCCAGCCAGCCACCAGGTTTGTCTTGAGACTCGCTGGGGGAGAGGGTGTCTTATTCCAAAGACCCCTTGCTTATTGGGGTCCAAGACCTGAAGACTTTGGGGGGCTGCCTTTGGATACACTGGAGGGAGGCACTGTGGGCTCCGTGTGTGACTGAGAGTTGGAAGATTCCATGTCTCCAGAGGACCGGTCTGGGACTACCAGGGCTCTGAGGCAGCTGCTCTTAGAAACTGGGGTCCCTTGGTGGCTGATGTCAGGACCCCCAAGTCTGTCTTCCAGCCGGTGTCTGAGACTCCTCCGAGTAGCACCCATCCTTCGTCGGTCTGCCTGTCTGAGGTTTCCGTGCCAAGAATGCGAGTATTATGTCCAAGAAAGATGCTTCTCCCTTTGCGTGGAGGCGAAAACGACTGACTTATTTCCGAGCCAGCGTCTTTGGCCCAAGTGTCTTCTTTCCTAAGGCCTCTGATGTAATTCAACAGCCGTACGTGACCATTTGGCTGAGTGGGAGCCTGGCCTGGCAGTACTAGCCACAGTCGTCTCCGTTGCTTCTGAGGACGCTGCTAAGTGAGCTGAGCTCCTCTCCCAGACCCTCCTCATGGACAACGGAGATGGTTTCTTCTGAGCAGTTAAACAAGTCTGGGTCTCTGGGTTTGGGAATCACAAACGTGAGGCCCTCGAAGGGGACCCTGCAGTGGTAATAACGGCTGGGTTGACGGGTCTCTGCTGGACTCAGGTTCTGAGTGAGTCCCCGAGTTCCCATGTTCTTGCCAGCCTGAGTGGCCAGCCTGTGATGGACAGCACGGGGCAAACATTCAGTGGAAACATGTTTCCCCTGTGCTTTGTGGGAGCTGCAGCCTTCGTGCCCATGTCCCTCCCATCCCCATGCCTGCCTCACTGCTCCTGGTCACAGGATACCTGCATTCATACCCGCTTCTCGGAATGAAAAATTCAGACAGGCCGGATGAACAAGGATGGGTTCTGGGGAACCGAGGGGAGCGCAGTGGCTGAGGTCCCCTTTCTTTATGGAACGTGACTGGGGTGTGGCCTTCAGGACACAATTTGTACCCAGATCTCTTTGATCTTGCTTTGGATTGTTCATTGGCCCCTGACCGGGTGTCTGAGTGTCTACTCCCGGCACTGGGTCTCTGCCCTGCCCTAACAGCTGTCCGGGAGCCCCGACATGGGTCGGAGCAGGAGCAGGAGATGCCCTGAGCAGTGGCCCAAAGGTGCCGCCCGGAGCTTTGAAGTGTGTGTGTGTGGGGGGGGTTCTCCTCGCATTTACCGAGCTCTGTACCCGCTGAGCCCACACGTTCCACCGTGTTGGGGTGACGATCCTGGGCATGTCGGCTGCTCTGGTGTGAGCCGTCATCATCGTTGTCGTCGTCATCACAGGCAAATCCCAGGCACGGGCTCGCTCCGCAGGGCCCATGCGCAGAGCGGGAGGAAAGGGGCACGCTGGGCCTCCCCGGAAGGCTTGGTGCAGGCCACAGCCTGCCCCACAGCCCTGCCCAGAGTCCTCGGGTCTGGCCGTGGTGTTCCCGGGCTGGCCACTGCAGACAGAAAGACTGAGGGAGGCGGTGACAGAGCTGCCCCAGAGGACGGCGTTGCAGGGCTTGGTGCCTGCCCTTTCCCCCCTGAGGTGGGGGCTCACTTTGAGTGCCAGGTGGGCTCCTGCTCACGCTGCCCCCCGAGTCTGGGACCCACTCAGGCCTCCCCTGTCTCCTGCCACAGAACTTTAGACTTGGGGGCTCTGGAGAGACTGTGGCCTCGCCCACAGGTCAGAGGGGGCATGTGCAAGTGGGACCCTGGGAAGAACCAGGATGACCAGCTCCTAGAGAGACTCGCATGGGGTCAGCTCCAGCTCAACCCTGGCACCACATGGGCCCTGAGCACCGCCAGTGTGGTCCAGGGACCCCAGAACTGCACGGGCCCAGTGGCACCTTATCTTCTGGCCCCACTTCGAACTGTTCACCCAAATGGTTGTGAATCACTCGCAGGCACCCCCGGACCTTCTGAGCACTGTTTGTAGAGTTCCATTCCAGAATAATATATATGTCTACTATATTCTGCATATACATTATGCAGCTAAATTGCTAGTTTATTTCCAACTGAAAAATACCTAAAAATAAGGAACATTTCAGCAAACACGTGACAACAAACTGAATCCTTCCTATGTTCATAGGAGAAAGATTTATTGCAGGCTCACAGCACATATTCTTTAAATCCCATTAAATGTCATTAGACGTTCCAGGCAGCCGCATTAATTTTCATTTTCACAATGTTTACATGGTGTGATTTTAAAAGAATGTCATTTTTTAACCTGCTAAACATCCTGAGAGATATTTAGGAAGAAATTCTAAGAACTGGAGACATGCACAGCTGCCTTGTAGGCTGCTAGACCTGGTCTGGTGCCCATAGGAACCCTATATAGTCCCCTGAGCCCACCAGAAGTGACCCCTGAGCACACAGCCAGGAGTAAGCCCTGAGCGCCGCAGGTGTGGCCCAGCCCCTCTGTCCCCAATAAAAAAGGCATTTTGAGTCTCCAAGTTCCTCTTGCTCGGGTTTGCCGCGACTGTATGACAAACACGTATTGCCTAAAGCACCCCACCCCAGCCAATCCTGGCTGAAAGAGAAGCTCCTTGCCCGCCTTTTCTCGGTGCCATGGGACTGACGGGGTTAAGTGGACTGGCAGAAGACACCCCTATTGAATGCAAGTAGATTTCCAAGAAAATCGCTGGCTAGACAGCTCCCCGGGGACGGCTTCGTCTGCATCTGCAGTCACCGTGACCTGCTTTGGAGATGACGTCACTGGGTGTCGCGCCTCTTTCTGGCTTCAGCCTCTGAAGGCGACACTCTGGGAGCACCGAGCCTGGTGACACCGCTCACCCACCGCTCAGGGGCTGGTCCCAGGGAGGCGTGTGCTCTGTGCCCGCCTCAGTCTGCAGCAAAAAAGCTGACGCGGAGACAGCGGGAAGAAGACGGCTGCTCTGCACGGCTGGGAGCTCGGCACCTTCCTGAAGACCGAGCACTGTCCTGGGAGCCTCTGTGTCTGGGCAGCCGTGGGGTCCGCGTGGGGCCGACTTGCAGGTGGATGAGCGCTGAGAAGCTGCGGCAGCCTTGGGCCCCCCTGGGACCACTCCCCTCCTCTCTGCGTGCTGCTGGGGGCCGTGGAGAGCCGGGCAGGGGTGCAGCGTTCCCGGGGAGCCTGCGGGCAGGCTTCCTGCCAATGGCTCTGCCCGGCAGCCTCGGGCAGCCCTGCCCTGGCCCCTGCGGGAGCCACTTCAGATAAGCAGCTCCTGCCTCCCAGATGGGCGAGGGAAACTTTTCAGCACCATGGAGAGGTCCCGGCAGTCTGACAGCGTGAGTACCTGATTACCCAGCACAGTGGACGAGGAGGGCACCCGGGCATCTAGCCGGGAGCTGGAGCTTGAAGGGGGGAGGGCAGTTCCAGGGGCGTTCGGGGTCGGCCACACTCACACACCCACACATACACACAGAGGCATGCACATGCATGCACACACACGCAAGCACTCATGCGTGCGCGCACACACACACACACACACACACACACACATCACAATGTGGAGCCCTGGTGCGTCGTGTGAACGTCCTGCTTCCTCATGGGCAGTCGGAGTTCCCAGAACCTCACACTGTGGGTCCAGTCCCCCTGGGGTCAGTGGCAGCGGGACCGAGCACCTGCCATGGAAACTGCATTTTCCTGTGTTCCCTCAGGCAGTCCCCATGCTGTTCCCTGCGGGGGCGGGGGGGGGGGGGCGGGGAGGCATGCTCTGAACTTTGCACTCAGCAACCGAGAGGGCAGATGACCTGGTGTCTGGTATTGGCCGTGTGCGGACGCCAGGGTTGCTGGGGTGGAATGACAGTGGGTTTGCTGACAGTGAAATGGACAGTGAGCAGTGCGGGGGTGGGGGGGGACGGGCGGGACGGGCGGAAGGTGCTGGAAAGGGCTGAGAGGTGGGTCAGTCTTAGGGCTGAGATGTGGGTCAGTCTTAGGCGTCTCTGGTAATTTTTAATTATTTACAAAATAGTCCAGTTAAACTGCCCACTCCCCCCCAAACATCCTAACGCCCCTTAAAGCTGTCGAAGGATTAGGCTGTTAGAACGTCACACGGCATCAGAAGAAATGACCTTTTGCCTGGTTTAGCAGTCACCAGCTGGTCTCATTCAGAATTGATCTAAGAAAAACAGGGTCATAGAAGAGGCATTTGGCAAAGAATTTCCTCTACTCAGGTCAGCTAAGTGTCGCTGAAGCTTGTCTTCATGTCAAACCTTTCATTTTAGAGTCTCCTAAAACTTTTTGAGTTGTTGCAATGAGAAATTTCCTTCAATCGTCCTCTATTTAATAGTTAACTAAATAACTTCTCACATATGAGAACTAGTAGTTATTTACTTAGCTGAGTCCCTAATTAAAATGGAACTAATTCTTTCGGATAATTGACTCTTTTCCTGCCGGGTGGGGGTGAGGTGAGAGGATCTTGCATTTTGGCAGGATGTGGAGTGAACAAGTTGGATGTTTTTTTGTTTTTTGGTGTTTTTTTTTTTCTGGAGAATGCAAGTTAGCTTTATAATGAGATCTTGTTACACATTCTGTCCAACTTTGTTGATGTTGCAATCTCAAAAGAATCGATGAGTGGTGAGTGAGTGGAGGGAGGGGGAGGGGGGGATTTTGTGTTCTTGTAGCTTTTCTTCCCGGAGTTGGGCTATTCTGTTGTTTTTCAATGAGCAGGATGGAGGGCCAATCTGACACTCCTGAGTGTGCTTCTGTGACCTTAAGACTTTGATTGCTCCTTTGTGATAAGAGTACCCACTCCCCGGCTGCTGGACAAAGCCTGATTAGCCTGTTTCATACTAACTGACAAGAATCCAGGCACATGTCCCAGGATGCAGCTGTGGGGCGCTCTGAGAAGTCGGGGAATGGGCTCGATTTGGAAATCTATTCTCCCGCAATCTTTGTTTTTTGTCTGTCTTGCAAGGATGCGATTCATTTGTGACATTGTCAGAAACGCAGCATTTTCTCTCTGGCTTTGCCGCCCCAGTCCCATCCCCCCTTGTATCCATAACAACGCTCGGCAGCATCTACGTCTTCTCGGCTGCAGTTCGTCTGGCCTGTGTGACTATTAACAGAACAAGGTCACTCTCTCTGACAAGCCAGAGACGCCTTCTGGCTCCCGCTCGGGTAACCTTTCAGCCACCCAGACAACAGGACACTGCAGAGCCCTTCCCACTGGGGCCGTGTGGATTTCCTTCTCTTCCTTCTTTCCTGTCTTACCCGCTTCCAGTAACATTCTGGTGTAGCAGATGTGTGCGAACAATCTTAAATTTAGTTGAATGACATTTTGTTTTTCTTGCCAATGTAAAAATATGCTCCGGATCTCTTTCCTCCTCCCTGGGTCCCGCCCCCTCCTACCTTTGCACGAAGGGGGTGGTGCATAATTGCTTTAGGGAAAACACCCCAGTAAGAGGCTGGGGGAGGGGGCTGCAAGGGTCCTGTTATCTCCCTGCTAGAGAGAGAGGGAGGGGAGAGAAGGGGGGAGAGAGGGAGGGGGATGAATGAGAAAGAGAGAGATTCAGGAAACAGTCTTCCATGTGTGGGTCTTGCAGGCCCCTCTGGTCACCTCATCCCCAACAGACCAGCACTGGGGATAGCCTGGGGACAGGGACCAGGACAGGGACCGGGAGGTTCTGGGGGCCAGCAGGCCTTCCTGGGGCAGTGTTGGCCAGGTGTCTTCTATCTAGGGCTAGGGTGGTTCTTGGGGTGGTGTGGACCAGGTAGCCCCTGTTGGGGTCACATTCAGCCCCTTGTGTGGGCTCCAGTGACCTCAGGGGTGCAGGGCGGTGCCCGGCAGAGGAAGCTGCTGCTTTCAGGTGCTGAGGCTGCCCTGGGCTTTTACCCTCCCACCTGCTCTGGGCCCAGCAGGTCTCAGCTCTCGGAATCTCAGTCCACACGTGTACACACATGCATGCGTACACACGTGCACACATGCCCACACATGTACACACACGCACGTGTGCGTGTACATACGCACATATGCTCACATCCACACACGTGCACACACCCACATGCACTCACACACATATACACACATGGACGTACCCACACATACGCACATGCACCCACATACACACAGACGCACACACACACATACACATGCACTTGCACATACATACACAAACACAAACACATGCACACACTTCCCAGCCTGCACTGGTACACTGGAAGCCCTAGAGCCAGGGAAGCTCCTGGGAACTCGGAACCTCGGGGACACCTCCCTGTTCCTCCATGCAGTGTCCCCCAGAGTGGGGGCTGCCTCAGGACCGCCGGGAGGGGGCAGTTGATGCCCACAATGCAAGAAGTGGGTTCAGGTGGCACTGGGGGCTTCCAGAAAGGCCAGTTGGGGACCGTCCACCCCGAGTCTGGCTCCCACTCAGGGCTGAGTGGGGTTGTAGCTTGCAGGGACTCACACAGGTCCGGGGGTCTCTGAGTCACTCCAGGCACCTCAAGCTCATGATTCTCTGATCATGCATATCCTTGACACTGTCTCCTCTACCCGCCTGCCATGGACATGATGGGGGGATCCTGGGGGCCATGAGCGGTGAGCAATGGGGACACCTGCTGGGGACGGGTGCGGTGGGGGCCTTGGGGTGGGGTGCAGAGGTGCTTGGGGGCCAGATGTGGCGTTGGGGTTGACCCATGATGCCTGGTTAGGCCTGTGCCCTGCTGCCAACTCAAGGAAGCATGAAACCAATTGGAGGAGTGGGGCGAGGACAATAACCCCGGGGTTCCCTTCAGGGGTTGTGAGTAGGAGAAAGGCTGGGCATGTGCTGGGTCCAGGGACTCATGTCTCCATGGATGGAAGGTTTGTTTCTTTGGAGGAATGCTGAGCCACAGTGACAGTGCTCAGGGCCACTCCTGGCTCTGTGCTCAGGGCTGACTCCTAGAAGTGCTCAGGGCTGACTCCTGGCTCTGTGTTTAGGGTCACTCCTTCACTGTGCTCAGGGCTCACTCCTGCTCTGTGCTCAGGATCACTCCCAGCTCTGTGCTCAGGATCACTCCCAGCTCTGTGCTCAGGGCTGATTCCTGGTTCTGTGCTCAGGGTCACTCTTGGTGGTGCTCAGGGTCATTCCTGGTGGCACTCAATCATTTTTAGAGGAAAACCAGTGTCTGCCAAGCCCAGAGGTGGCTAGAGCGAGGTTCAGTGTGGGAACTGGTCCCTAACCGCAGGGGAGGAAGGTTTGGCCCCTGCATCCCAATCCCTAAGTGCCACAGTCTTTCCACAGGGCGGCAAAGCCTGGGTAGTGCCCCCTGCCACCCGCAGGAGCTACAGCCGTGTGTGGGAGTGACTGTGGGTGCAGGCTGGCGCCTCACTTTGGGTGCAGTGATACGTGTCCATCCACCTCATTTGCATTTGCTGGAGGCCACTCCCAACAGTCTGGGGGCGACTCACAGAGTTTCGGGGCCAGGGAAATGCTGGACTGAGGATGACCCTGAGTCCCCCAGGCAAAGCCTGTGCCCCGCCCATCATGTCTGTCCACGCCTCTGTTGTCTGCTGTGACTTTTTCTTTTCTTTTCTTCGTTTAATTGAATCACTGTAGGATGCAGTTACAAGCTTTCATGTTTGAGTTACAATTGCACAATGATCAAACACCCATTCCTCCGCCAGTGCACGTTCCCCATCACCAATGTCCCCAGTATACCCCCACTTTCCTACCCTCCCCCTGCCTCGCTGGCAGATAATTTCCCCCCAAACTCTCTCTACTTTTGGGCATTATGGTTTGCAATACAGATACTGAGAGGCCATCACGTTTGGTCCTTTATCTACTTTCACTGACTGTTTCTTTTCCACCTTCTTGTTACTGTTGCTTTGCGCATGGTCCGCTGCTCCCTAAACACTCAGGGCAGGGCGAGAGGACGGGAGCTTCGTTCCTGGAGGCTTCTCCAGGTCCCCACTACAAGCAGAGAGGGGACTCCGGTGGGGGCAGGGGTGGGGGGTGAACCCCATTTTGACAGTGACGTTAACCTCCTGCATTATTTCCCTGCTTCCACAGACCCATCTAGGCAGCTTTCGTGTTTACTTGCTTCGCCTCTTCTTATGATAGCTTCACACTTATATTTTAAACAACCAAGAGAACAAGATCCCTGGCAAATACCAATTGGGAAGAGAGTTTATTTTAAATGCAGCTCTTCCGGCTGCCGTTGCTATGTGGCGTGGTGGTTGCTAACGGGGATGAGAAGGATGGAGCCCTGGGGGTGTGGACAGGCCACTTGGCCCCACACCCCGCTGCCTGGGAATTTTCTGGGACAGCAAAGCCTCAATAATCCCCAGCACCGTCAGAGGCATCGA